GGAGGGAGACCGGGGGGGGGGGGGGTCTCCTCACCCCTTTGGGCCCTTATTGATTCATTTGGAGTGATCTGCATTGCGCTGTGCAGACCCAGGGCGAGCTCTGGACCCTGCTGTGCCAGGTGCTGGGCAGACATCCAGTGAGCGAGAGTCCCAGAAATGCCATTGGTTGGGAGGGGAAACTGAGGCACGGAGCAGGGACACGATTGGGCAGTCACCCAGCAGATCAGCCGCAGAGCCAGGAACAGAAGCCAGTTGCCTTGTGCCTCCGGCTAATGCTCTGCCACGTTCCTTCGTGAGGCAGGATGCATCTGGCAGGCAGGGCTGGTCCATGGCAGTGCCACATGGCTAGTGAACCCTGACTCTACCCACTGGGCCCCACATCCCTCCCAGAGCGGGGCTGGAACCCAGGAGCTGGGCTCCCACCCTGTGACCATCATGGGTCTTTCCTTGCAGATGTAGCCAAAGAGAAGGTACTTTCCTCCTGGGGCAGATGGGCAGGGATTTTCCCTTCTTCTGTAGCACGGGTGCCTGTCCGGACAGATCTCATTTTGCCGGTTCCCTGCTTCGGGGGCCCCTCGGTTTCTGCCCGCGGCTCACAACGGCGAGGACCAAAACGTTTGAGTCTCATCAGAGCGGCTGGGTTCAAGGCAGAGCTGACCAGTGCTCTGCAGGAGAATGAGGAGTCTTAGCAGGGGCATCCTTCACATGCAGGCAATTGCTGCCCCCGGCCGGCTTGCCCCCTGCATCTGAAAGGGGCACCACATGGCTCTCCAGCAGGACCTAGTGGACTGGTGCCTGGGTGTCCGACATCCCACGTGAATGTGCTGTCTGTGAGGTCACGCTGCCTCCCCACCCACATGCACATCCCGGGGGTCAGAGTTAAGGGGATGCAGTTAAGTCGGAGCACCTCCATGGGGCATTTCCTGGTGACGTTTGCAGCTGGTTGTTTCCATGCCTGTAAACCAGTGGATTGTCTCACTGGCCAGCGGCTCAGGAGACTCAGCAAGTGCAGGATTTCAGCCCCTTGTGACGAACACAACAATCGCCTTCTGCTCTCTCTTAGCAACTGGCTCTGCACCATCGTAGCACCCCACCCCAGACTCCTGCATGAATAACCAAGGCACAGTCAACCAGGGAGTGGGGCGCACAGCTGGGGAGAGGACCCCGGAGCCCTGAGACTCAGTGAATGAGGCTGGGGCACAGCTGGGGCAGGGAGCCTGGCCTGCTGGTGTTCGTCCAGGACACAGCTGGGGTGGGGTCCCAGGAGTCCGCTGCTCTGCGCGAGGTGACAGTGCAGAAAGGGCTTGGTCTGGGAAAGCACTCACTTCTGGTAGATCCCAGCAGGGGTGGTTTTTCATCCCTGCGGCTTTTCCTCCTCGCCGCCTTCCGGCTGCTTTGCATAAAGGCTCCTAATTAACCAGCACCAAGTCCCCCCACTATCCATAGTTGGGCTCAGCTTCCCTTGCAACTAAACCGCCAGGGGCTAGTGCATCAGGGCTGTGTTGCTCACTGCTGGACTGAATCGGCCAAACTGTGTGTCATATGCCCCTCTACTGCTGGAGACCAGTGGGGATTTTCAAGTCTGGGCTTTGGAACAGGCAGAGCTGGCGCCTCTAACCCAGCTCCTCTCTGCAGTTTTAGGGACTTGACCTGTGTCGCAGTGGCCCAGGAGCTAACCCGGGGGGAAGTGCCTGATTCCCTTTAGCCGAACTTGCTGTGGGCATAACCACAGCCCGTTAGACTGAGCCTGGAATTGCGGGGCCTTAAACCCAAACATCTCAAACAGCAGCAGGAAATCTCACCTGTGCCAGGACAAGGCCACTCTCCTCCTTTTACTGAGGGGGAAACCGAGGCACAGAGCAGCAAAAAGCTGACCAACAATCACACAGTCTAGGCACAGCTGGGGAGAGGACCCCGGAGCCCTGAGACTCCCAGGGAGTCGGGCGCACAGCTGGGGAGAGGACCCAGGAGCCTTGAGACTCCCAGGGAGTCGGGTGCACAGCTGGGGAGAGGATCCCGGAGCCCTGAGACTCAGTGAATGAGGCTGGGGCACAGCTGGGGCAGGGAGCCCGGCCTGCTGGTGTTCGTCCAGGACACAGCTGGGGCGGGGTCCCAGGAGTCCACTGCTCTGAGCGAGGTGACAGTTCCACGCAAAGCAAATCCATTTCCCAAAACCATAAACCCTCTTGGAACCGCCCCCCCGACCTCGCAGCCTCCCGTGGGGTTCTGTATCGCGTGTGTGGAGGGTTGATTGATACACCTGGACGGGCCATTGTGACAGGCAGGGGAGCCCCCGCCCCCGCTCCCTGCAGCACAGCGCCCCTGGGGCCAGGCTGGGGCACTGGGGTCAGCGCTGACCGTGAGGGGAGAGGCCCCTCACCCCCGGCATCCGGCATGTGCCCAGCTCTCTGAGCTCCGGGAGGAGGTGGGCGACAGGCTGAAAGTCCTTGGGGAAAGGTAAGAGGGGGGAGATGAAACTAGGGGTGCTGTGCTGTGGGCAGGGGAGCCAACAGCCTGTGCGGGCCCTGGGCAAAGCATGTGTGAGTGGGGGGCTGCTCCGCGCTCCCACAATGGGCAGGGGCTTGGGCGGAAAGGGTGGAGCAGTGGGCGGAAAGGGTGGGGCACCCACCCCAGCCCTCAGAGCCCCCCAGCCCTCAGAGCCGCTAGGAGCCCCCCGAGCCATCAGAGCTGCTGGGAGCACCCCCCAGTCCACAGCATCACCCAGAACACCTCCCCCAGTCCTCAGAGCCGCCTGGAGCATGCTCCCCCTCCCCCCGAGCTGTCAGAGCCACTCAGAGCACCCCCCAGCCCACAGCACCCCCCTGCAGTCCTCAGCGCTGCCCCGAGCATGTGCCCCTGCCCCCCACCTTCAGCGCTGCCCAGAGCACGCCCCCCTACCCTGCACTTTCAGCACTGTCCGGAGCACCCCTCCCTTCCCCCCACCTTCAGCTCTGCCCAGAGCAGGCTCCCCTGCCCCCCACCTTCCGCGCTGCCCGGAGCATGCTCCCCTGCCCCCCACTTTTAGCGCTGCCCAGAGCATGCCACCTTGCCCCCCACCCTCGGCGCTGCCCGGAGCCGCTCGTTTGGAGCATTAGCCCAGCAGCACCCTTGTGCCCTTTGGGCTTGGCAAATGGGTCCCTCAAGGGATTTCTTAGCCAGTGTTTGCTTTAGGCTTAAGTGGGTTATGGTAGCACCCACAGGCCACGTCTGAGTGTGTGGGGGGGGTCACCAGAGACCCCTTGAGGCTGCTTCCCGGGTGCTGACAAAGCCACTGCACTCGCCACCTTGCTCTCTGGGGCTTCTCTCCGCCCTGTCCCGCCAGGCCAGGTCTGGTCTCCCCCAGCCAAGGCCCCGAGTTGAGACCTCCCCCTCCCCCCAAAGAGCAATGCAGACACTGAGTCACTTCAGGTCTGAGGAGAAGGCAGTTTCAGGCCCAGCATCCAGGTAACCAACCCCAACTGGGATCCGAACCCCAAAACAACCACTCAGGCAGCACCCTTTAGCAGGGAATGGAAGGGCACACTGGTTGCTCCCCCAGGTAACAATGATTCACACAGGGATGATAGTAAACACAAGGGCTGTGTCTAGACCTGCATGATTTTCTGCAAATGCTTTTAATGGAAAAGTTTTCTATTAAAAGCATTTGCGGAAAAGAGCGTCTAGATTGGCACGGACGCTTTTCCACAAAAGCACTTTTTAGCTATCTACACTGGCCCTTTTGCGCAAAAGCTTTGCGCAAAAGGACTTTTGCCCAAACGGGAGCAGAATAGTATTGCCGCAAGAAGCACTGATTTCAGACAGTAGGAAGTCTCAGTGTTCTTGCGGAAATTCAAGCGGCCAGTGTAGAGAGCTGGCAAGTTTTTCTGCAAAAGCAGATGATTTTGTGGGAAAAACTTGCCAGTCTAGACACAGCCAAATGCTTTCACTAAGTACAGTCGGGTTTCAGCAGTTGCAAGTGAAAACAGCAAAGTAAATTACGAATTTAAAATAAACAGTAAACGCGGAGCTTGTTCTAACACAGTCAAACTTAGTGCAAACTCACCCGAAAACTGTCTTATTTCAGCTAAACCTCCAAGCCAAGGAAGGTCTTTTTTCCCTGGAGGTCCCTAGCTTATTCTCTTGACGTCTACACTGTGAGGCTATGTCTACCCTGGCGGCTTCTTGCACAAGAAACATCCACACTGCCATGTGTGAGCTGTGCTTTTGTGCAAGAGCATCCATGGCCGTGTGGACGCTCTCTTGCACAAGAAAGCTCTGATGGCCATTTTAGCCATAGGGCTTTCTTGCACAAGAAATCCCTGCCAGGCAGCCACACTGCCCCCTTGTGCAAGAGCTCCTGCACAAGAGGGCTTACAGCTGTTAAAAAAGAGCGTAGCTCTTGCACAAGAAGCCCTCTCTTACCACGCGGTACTGTAAATCTTCTTGCACAAGAATGGGTGGGCAGTGTGGACGCTTTCCAGAAGAACGGCCCTTTTTGCACAATTATCCACCAGTGTAGGCATAGCCCGGGTGTTTTGCGGAAGAGTAAGTGCAAATGGAGTGCTCATTTGCATATCTCGCGCTTTTCGGGAACTGGTGATTGGTTCTTCAAGGGATTTGAAACCACAGACAGAGGAATACTTCCTTTTAGGGTTAACCAAAAATTTATTTCTATTTACTTTTATAATTAATTTTTCATTTAAATCAATTCACTATCTTTAATTCTTTTAAGACAGTGTAACATACAAATAAAGAATAGAAAAAACAGTACAAATAAAACGAGAATAATAACCCGTCCTACAGCTATACCCTCCAAAGTTACCTTTGAACAGTTTGTGGAGTTATCAGACATACCTACATAATACTTACATTAAGATGGATAGAAGCATTGTTTAGATTCAGGAGATAGTCTTTTCTTTATGTCTTTCCTTTCGGATTTTTCGTTGCAACTTACGACCGATGTTCCCCTTTTGGAGCTTATGAGCTGCAGCGAGATTCAGTGCCGGGGAGGGAGCCCTGGTTGATCAGACCTGGCTTTTTCAGATTCGCAACCTGTCCCATTTTGGTCTGTTTAGTTCAACCTTACATACCCTGCTTTGGTATTTTTCCTCTCGCCTGGCTATGCTGACATTACTCATTCTGCCTTTTTTGGACTTGCGTCTGCTTCTTATTTGGGGTTATCGGCACTTTGTTGCTTTTGCTGGTTTTGTTATGTCTATTTCCCTAAAAGTGGGGTTATTGTTGGTCATCCAATCAAATTCTGTTTTTTTTCCTGTTTATGTCTCCTGTATCTTGGCAATGCTGCCTTCCTTTTACACTTTCAACTAAATTAGTGCTCATTTGACATACTCAGGGTAGGCCTTAACACATCCTTTTCACAGCGCTCTCATTTGCATATCTTCGTCCGATCCTTTTTGCAGAAGAGGTTTTTGCGATAAAAAGCCCTGTGTAGACGGGGCCATTTGTCGGAAAAAAAAAAACGTTTGTGCAACAGCCTGTAAACCTCATTTTTTGAGGAATAAGGGCTCTTGCACAAAAGGGGTCTGCCACACAGTGACCAAGATCAGAGCCCCGTCAGGCCGGGTACTGCCCAGACACATGGTGACCAAGATCTGGGCCATTCGGGCCGGGCGCTGTCCAGACACACAGTGACCGAGATCAGGGCCCCATTGGACCTGGTGCTGGCCTCCTTCCTTAGAAGCTTTTAAGGCCCAGCTTGACAAAGCCCTGGCTGAGATGATTTTGTTGGGGTTGGTCCTGCGTTGGAGATAAGGGATTGGTTGTGCCAGGAAAGTGGGATGTGCCTGGAATGGGATTGTGTCATCAGGCAGGTGAAAGGGGCAGGCTGGGGGCACCTCCTATCTGGGACTGCCCCAGCCCTGAGCCTCCCACCCCCCCAGGCACCCTTCAGGGGTTGCTGAATCCCTCCCTCCTCCCAATTTGTATGGGAATACTGCTGTCTGTTCCCCTTCACTAGGGAGTGAGGGGAAAGTGCACAGGCTGCTGCATTCCTCACTGCCTGGGGAGTGCAGGGAGCAGACGAACCTCTACCTGCCCGAGGTGGAACAGGCACCCTTCCCCTGGCTCTGCCTGCTGGAGCTGCAGCAGCCATGAAGAGGCACCTCTCACCTGACCCCAAGCTGCTGCCGCGGTGACAGAGGGCTGGGGTAGTTCCCTCCCCCTGGGGCAGCCTGCACACTGAGCCCCCAGCCCCAGAGCAATGATGCAAATGAAGCACGTACAGCTGCATTTTGTTTTGCCAGAAACCAACATTAATTGAGCTAAGGGCCGGAGCTATGCCGGGTACTTCTAATGAGCGATAAAAGGGAATTCCACCGACCCCTGGGCCCCTAGAATGAAGGGTCGGCTTAGTGCCCAGGACTCCTGGGTTCTCTCCTGGTCACTGCCGAGGTCAAGTTGCTTCCCACAGCACCATCAGCGCAAGCCGGTGAACCGCCCCCAGTACAATGTGCCGGGTGGGCTGGGAACTTAGGTGGCAGAGTGTTACTTTCCCACCACCACTAGGGGTCGCTCCGGTGCACTGCCCAGCAGCCCAGGAGCACAAAAAGGCCAAGTTAAAGGGCAAGCAAGCGCCCAATCCCCTAACTCCGTCTCCCCTCCCCCACTCAGGCTATTCGAGACCCACCCCGAGTGCAAAGATGCTTTCTTCCTCTTCCGGGACATTGAGGACCTGCAGCAGCTCAAGATGAGCAAGGAGCTGCAAGCCCACGGCCTCAGGTGGGTCCCCGCACCGTGCGATGGATCTCACCTCTGTGCCCGGCCTCCTGGGTCAAGAGGCCAAAGGCTGAGCCACGCAGGAGCCGCATGCACGCCTGGATCTCAGGAGGGGGGGAGTGGGGTCTAGTGGGGAGAGCAGGGAGAGGCTAGGAACCAGAACTCCTGGGTTCCATTCTTGGATCTGGCTGGGGAGCGACATTTCCCCTCACTGTGCCGGCTCAAGTGGGATATGAAGCTGCTCCCTAAAGGGAGGAGGGGCTCTCCCGCCAGCCCCGGCTTTGGAATAGAGAGTAATTGAACCACATCAACGGGAGTGATCCGAGATGGGAAGACTGCGTTTCGGGAGGCTCGGGGCTGGATTCAGGCCCACCCTTGGGATGGGATAGGATAGGGAGCATGATGGGAAGAAAGCTAGAAGGGGTTGGAGAGGAGACGGGGGCTAGGAACTGGGGGAGGGGGGACTTGGAGGCGATCGGAGGGGGATCTAGTCAGTTGGCTAGATCAATATTAGTATTATCCAAAGAATAAGGTCCTGATGTCTACAGCCCAGTCCTACTTATCCTGGGGACTCCCTGCCAAAGATGGTTATTGAGCTGGGGCAATTCTGGGAAGCTGGACCGGTGCCAGGGGTTCACTTTCCTGAGGTGCTGAATACTCACAACTCACTGTGGAAGCTTCCAGGACTCCAGGCTCTGCATCTTCATGCATCAGGGCACTGGCAGTGAGCAGGTCAGGAAGGTGTTTCTCCCAGTGCGAGGTGGGCCAGTCTGGCAGGCTCGAGGGTGGGATGTTGGCAGGGAACAGCCCCAGCGCAGGGCAATCCAGCGATGTCCCAGTCGGTTCTGCCCCATCCCAGGGTGATGTCCTTCATCGAGAAAAGCGTGGCCCGGCTGGACCAAGAGGACAAGCTGGAACACCTGGCCTTCGAGCTCGGCAGGAATCACTACAGATACAGTGCCCCTCCCAAGTACTATGAGGTGAGCGCTCCAGGGCCTGGGCTGCAGGGCGAGGGGGGACGGACCTTGCCATCCTCTGGGGGCTGGCTCCTGGGTTGCACAGACAGGAGCCGCTTACCCTCCTGCACAGAGGCAAGCCACAGTGCATTGCACCACAGGGCGCAGGCCAGGACACCCAGAATCCTCTGCACTCTGGTCCAGTGATGGTGGGAGGATGGGAGTGATTTCCCCAGCCTGGTCCAGTGCAAAGCCATTTCCCCAGCATGCCTGGGAACAAACGCCTTGTTTTTCTCCACTAGTACAAATGGCTTTTTCCCCAGCTCACGCTGGTGCAAATGATTTTCTCCAGCATGCTGTGGCCTGGCACACATGGCTTTTTCCCAGCATGCACTACCACAAACATTTTTTCCCCAGCATGCACTAGTAGAATGTTTTTCTCCCCAGCATGTTTCCCCAGCGTGCACTCCTGCAGACTGTGGTTCCCCTCCACCATGCTCCAGTACAAAGGGTGGTTCCCGCTGTTCACTCAGACCAACCAATTTTCCCAGCACGCCCCAGTACGAAACCCTTTCCCCACAGTTCACCAGTCCGGGCGCTTCCCCAGCCTGCATGGCTACAGGCCCAGCGGAGGTCCCAGGGAGAGACCCGTGCAGAGGGCAGCACCCAGCCATGCCTGGCCTGGTCTGTGTTTGCCACAGATCGGTCTGTCGTTTGGGCCGAGAAGGGCTGGGGCTGGCGTCTCCCTCTGACCCCACCTCTGCTCTGTTTCCAGTACGTTGGCGTCCAGTTCATCAGCGCGGTGCAGCCCATCCTCAAGGAGCGGTGGACACCGGAGCTGCAGGAGGCATGGCAGGTAGGCAGCGGCTCCGCGGAGACTTCACCCTCTCCTGGACCCCTCTGGTTCTTCATCCGGCCCTGAGCCCTTTGTGTGGGGCTCTCACAATCAGTGGCAGCCAGGGGAGCTGGACAAATCTTCCAGGGGTTTGGCTTCCTGCTTGCCCTAGGAGTGGGTATGGAGCACAGTGCGCTGTGGCTGTTCTCTGCTCCCCAGTGCCCATAGGGGGCGGATCGGGGGTGTGGCCGCAGCACACTGTGCTGTAGCTGTTCTCTGCCCCCCCAGAGCCCATAAGGGGTGGATGGGGTGGGGCCAGGGTGCCCTGTGCTGTGGCTGTTCTCTGCCCCCCAGGGCCCATAGGGGGCAGATTTGGGGTGTGGCCGGAGCACACTGTGCTGTGGCTGTTCACTGCCCCCCAGAGCCCATAGGGGGTGGATGGGGTGGGGCCAG